CTTTTAACTTCTTCAATCTCAAAGGGGATATCGTAAGATTCGTGATTTTCAAAGGGTCTTTCGTTCGAAGAGTCCAATCGGAGACCTCGTGCCGAGGCCTATCTCTTCTTTTTTAACTTCCGTTACGAGCAATCTAGTGGAAAACAGTTTCATTGTTCTCCATAATAGAAGCCGAGGAGATAGTTGATAAGCTTGAAAAATAAAACGTGGAAAACGTAAAATCACTTACTGAGATAGCTTTTCTAATAAAAATATTTTTAACTTTTGACAGAAGAACAAAATATATTGAAGAGGCGCGAAGGCAAATAGAGTGAAAGAACAGAGAACTGATTTATATCACCAAAAAAATTCTTCCCTTCTCCCGGTTTTTTTTGGCAAGTTTGCTATCAAGAAGAATTTAGGAAACGCACCATGCAAACTGCTGGAGTTGCGAACACCCAGCAAAATTTCCACCATCGACTTGGATAGTAGCCAATCATACTTTTCATATGTTCATACCAACGATTAATCCCTAAAAAATAGCATTTTCTTACCTTTAACAGAACATATTGTCTAAATCTTAGCTCTTACCTACACACCAAGAGATGGCAATGCATTCGAAGAACAACAACCACAGAAGTGCCCATCCGGAAGCGGCATAGAAATCGAACAGCTGGAACACATAGAAGCCACCCTGAAAGAATAAACATAGCTTAAAGTTTCAATAATTTCCCCGTTTGTCGAAGATCCACAGGCAAAGTTTTCTTTCACGAACAGCTGTTTCTCATCCTCCAACCAAGATCAACAGATAAATTATGAGGCCAATGAGGTGCAAACTGTGTCACGAGGAGGTTTTCACCTCATTTTTTACCAACAACCTTATACCAAAAAGTCAAGGTTTAAGATTATTTTAAAAGGCACTAATCACATTCATTAAAGCTGCTTGATGTTCATTGATTGTGATGAAATCAAATCTTCAAATCTTACAATTCTTTAGATCACCAAATTTAGAAAGAATGAAAATCACCAAAATATAAGTAGGCAGAATATGATTTATATTGTGACGTACCCTTGTAACAGTGCTGAGCCCAATTAAATAGGATATCAAGCATATGAGCCCAACGAATATCTCTCGTCCGTACTTTCGTCTACGGATCACCGTCGGGAATTCGTCAATAATAGCCGTGAAGAAGCCTTCCATGGTACAAAACTAAAATATCATCGTATCATAAACATAGTCCGCAAATTTCTCGAAAATCGAATAAAAAGGAAAATTCCTAGAGAACAAAAATAACGCATTCTTGTTTACGTAATGAAAGCAATTCATTCTAAAGAGCAAGCAACTTCTTATAGCAAAGCATACTGTAATCAGAGCTATACTTCCATTCACCTGTGAATCGATTCCTAAGAAAAGAACCATTGAGAAGAACAGCAATGACCATACATTGGTATA